TATCAGAGAGGAAGGAAGAGGGAGTGGTAGAAACATCAATAATGAATCATTGACCAGCTGCCTCCTGCCCGCCCTGTACTGGGGACTGAGCTGGCAATCCAAGCATGCGCCCTCGACTAGAATCAAACCTGGGACCCTTCAGTCTACAGGCTGATGCTCTATCCACTGAGCCAAACTGGGTAGGGCCCTCCTGTGTCTGGGGGCGTTTTTTTCCCTTTCACTTTTGCCACTTCAACATATACTGTTGGAACATATATTAATTTGTTTCTTTTAAAAGCAGCACTTCAAAATTTCAAGATTATCCTTAATCAAGCCCAAAGTTGGTCCATATCTTTACACTCCTTCAGAATAAAGCAAGATCTTAAGACTGATATCATTTCAATGACCAACCTTACATGCATTAAGCACCGATAGGTTACTTAGAATACTTGATAATTGTCTCTTTCTCCAGCAAAGTAGACACTGTTTTATACTACCATTTCTCTAGATTTACTCAGTTGCTTACTATTTTCTTTTCTTACTATTATTTCCTACATCTCAGATTTTCTGGGATAATTTTCCTCCTATCTTTTAGAAGTTCCTTTAAATGAGGCAATTTTGATAATAAATTCTCCATTTTAAAAATATAAATATGTCTTTATTTCACCCTCATCCCCATATAATCCATTTAGCAAACTTATCAGAGTAAAAAAAAATTAATATTAATAACATAGCATTTAATGATTGAAAGCAGAAAATATACATAACAAAGAAAGTGATAAATACTATCTTAATTTTGCATAGCATTTCTCAGATGAATGTCTGAAATAACTTTTAAATATTTTTTTTAATTTTTTTTTTTTTAGAATGAGGGAAAGGGATAGGAATATTCAGCTGACTCTTGCATGCCCCTTACTGGGGACTGAGACAAGCCAGGCATGTGCTCTGACCCGGAATTGAACCACCAACCTCTTGGTTCATGGGTTGATGCTCAACCACTGAACCACATTGGCTGGGTTGAAATATCTTATAATGCATCCGTTTACTAGATACTTAAAATTATCCTGAGAAGTTCATCTTTAAGAAAAGTATTTTATGATACCCATTTTTTCTTTTTTGTAGGCAAATAGGTTACATTTTCTAAGATTTGTAACCACTATTACTTTAGTTACACCGAGGATGCCTGGTATCTGCTACCTATGTAACTAAGGATGTGTCACTCAATCTCTTTCTTGTTCAGCCAGACTCTTTTTACAGTAATTAAAATTTCCATAGCGTTCAAAAGAAATCCCACTGGTCTTTTAGTTTAAAATAATTTTTTATTAACCAGGGGGCATGTGAGGAACATGACGGGCGTTGGTCGCAGCGGATGGTGGAGCAGGTGAAGGGAGAGGGCACCAGAACAAGGCAGGGTACTGACTGCTGTCATTGGGGCGAGCCTCTGGTGGTTACTGAAAGTTCTTTGCTTCTGTTCACTGCAGTCCTGTCCAGCACTCGCACTTGCTGCCGGTGCCAGCTCCGCTTGTACCCACAGCCACCGCTTGTACTCACAGCCACTGCTTGCACCCACAGCCACTGCTCACACCTGTTGCTGATGCCCAGCACAGGCCCCAACTGCTCTGCACCATCAGTGAGTGCAAGTGGGGCCAGTGCCATCAGTGCATGGAGCGATGGCAGCAGGAGCAGGGCTGCCGGCAGACAGGGAACTGGGGGCCGTGGCGGGAGGGGCCGGGCGGGGGTGCAGAGGATGGGCCAAGACCTGCCCCTGTGACTACCGCAGCCTCACAGCCCACAGCTTCTTTCAAGGGGCACGAATTCAAGCACTGGCCCCATATAATGGGTAGTTTAATATAAAAGTTCATTATTTTTAATAATGTTCCAGTAGAGTAAGTTATGAATCTGTGAATAACAACTCATTAAATTAACACTTCATTTATATGGAGAAATGGAAAATCCTGTCATATTTAACGCTAGAGTTTGGCTAAGAGTTGTGAAGTTTTTCATATACATCTGTAAAACATACATACTCACACAACGCATACAAGCACAAGCGCACACACATGTGAATGTGTGACCAAAGCACAGAGCATGACAGGGAAGGAAACTGAATTGTCGTATCTTTTCTTAACAGCTAAAAGGAGTAGTCTAGAATAGAGCAAAAGAATCTCAATGATCATACACTCTTAGCAGAGTTTGTAAAAATAAGTATATTCCCCCAAAATATAAATATTTATGAATTAGTTGTATGCCACATATTAAATATAACAAAAAACAACAAAAAATATAACTTAAAAAAGGAAGAACTAGACATGCAATATTTTAAATAGTTGTAATTATATTAATGCAAATAACATTTACTGAGGACCGATAGGTGTGTAGATGTGAAGACGGTAATGCAATCCAATGTAATTTAACATGACTACCGATTAGACTGCTCTCCTATTTAATTTCACAAGGTAGCTGAGAAGCAAATGCTAGGCCTACAAGAGCTGCTGGGCTGATGACTTTTATTAAGGGCTGACAGTTTGGTCCCCCTCACCCTACAAAAAAAGTAGTTCCTAGACAAGGATTTGTTACTCATCAGGGAAACAATCCCAGGAGAGTGAGGAAGTGGGAGGGAAGGATGGAAGGCAATAGTGTCAAATGAATGGGTTTTTGCATTAAGCAACTGGGAATCAGTCCCACTGGGGCCATTCTGAGAAATAACAGTGCCTTCTCATTGAGGGATACGTATTTACAGATCAAATCCTGACTCCCCCACTGCTAAGGACCGCCCAGCCTGGCTACCTGCAGGCCAGCATGCTCTGGATCCAGACGACACCTGCATAAGTTGAGGACTGTGGAACTGCAGAAGAGCTAGAGGCCCAGGGCACATGGCAGGGCACAGGCAACAGATGCCACATCTGCTGTGCCTGTTTCAGGGAAAATACTAGCTTCAGTTTTGGTTTCTTTGCTTTGCTATCTAGATTAGAAAAGTTATGAGTTGACAGTTTTAGCTAAATACTCTCATTTCTTGCCCCAGCCGGTTTTGCTCAGTGATTAGAGTGTCGACCTGGGACTAAAGTCTATCAGGTTTGATTCCCAGTCAAGGGCACATACCTCAGTTTCAGGCAAAATCCTAGGCCCTGGTCGGAGCGTGTGCAGGAGACAACCAATGGATGTGTCTCTCTCACACCAATGTTTCTGTCTCTCCCCCTGCCCCCTTCCACTCTCTCTAAAAATTAATGAAAAAAATTATCCTCGGGTGAGTATTAACTAAAAAATACTGTCATTTCTTTCTACTTTACCCACAGGATACCTCAAACCTGTACAACATGACTTAAGACCATCTGACAAATTGTATAAGTGCTGGCATCATTCTTTCAAATATTGATGTATTTCATCTTTTCTTGGATTAAAATGTACAAATATAAGTTCTAAGGTTTTCCTGCTCTAGCCAGGCTGGTGTTACTCAGCGGCTGAATGTCGACCTATGATCCAGGATGTCATGATTCCATTCCCGGTCAGGGCACATGCCTCAGTTGCAGGCTTCATCCCCAGTGGGGACATGTAGGAGGCAGCCAACTCATAATTCTCATCACTGATGTTTCTCTCCCTCTCTCTCTTCCTTTCTGAAATCAATAAAAAATATATTAAAAACAAATAAATAAGATTTTCCTGTCCTGTCTACTGTAATTCAGTACCTTCTGTGCCCCTTGAGGTGTGTGCTCCCCTCTGGCCATCACTGGACCAGAGCATATAGAGCCTGTCCAGCTCTCAGCTGGAATGATTCCTCTCACTCCAGGGTATATCTGGACTATTCTAAATGAGAAAATACTAGTAACACACAGTTCTAACATCTATCTATCACTTAAGGAGGAGCTGAAAATTTCAAAAACACTCTCCACAGAATTCCCTGAGTGGGTATCTTCTTTCCCTGTGTCTAAAATATTATACAAAAGCCCAACTCCATCTTGGAATTCAGTCTAACTAACTCGGTTAAAATGCTCCGACTTCCCATAGTTGGTGGTGTGAAAGGCAAATGGGTAGACTTGTTTCCATCGCTTTTACAAAAATAACAGCTCTACAGAAACATTTTTCAAAGTCACAGCTTCCTAAAAGAGTTACATGAAAAATTTATTTCCTAAACAAATAACTACATAACTGAATTCCAGAAACGTGGCACAAAGTGATGAAAATCCATTTTATTTAGGCTGAAGTGAGTATATTATTTATTTAGTTTTAAAACAAACTTAGCCCTCGCCCACATGCTCAGTGGTTAGAGCATCGGCCTGTGCACAGGGATGCTGGGGATGGGCAGCAGGGGGTGGGATGGTGGTGGGGTAGCAGGTTTGATTCCCAATCAAAGAAGTGCACCTTGGTTGCAGGTCTGATCCCCACCCCTGGACCGGGCATGTGTGGGAGGCAACAAATCAATGAATCTGTCACATAGATATTTTTCTCTCTCTCGCTCCCTTCTGTCCCCCTTTCCTTCTACTCTCTTTAGAATCAATGGAAAAAATATCCTCAACCCTGCTGAAACCGGTTTAGCTCAGTGGATAGAGCGTCGGTCTGCAGACTGAAAGGTCCCAGGTTCAATTCCGGTCAAGGACATGTACATTGATTGCGGGCACATCCTCGGTGGGGAGTGTGCAGGAGGCAGCTGGTCGATGATTCTCTCTCATCGATGTTTCTGGCTCTCTATCCCCCCCCCCCTTTCTCTATGTAAAAAAATCAATAAAAAACATTTAAAAAAAATATATCCTCAATCCTTGGGTAAAAATTAAAAAATTAATAAAATAAACTTAGTATATGATTTGTTAATATCACTTTGAGTAAACTTCAACGAATTCTGAGGTTTACTGTATTAGTTTAAAAAAATCTATTCTGTGTAGAAATACTATTATGCTAATTCCCTTAGAGTTTAAAATTTCAGAATTGAATCACTTTAGCCTATTTAAGACTTTTGTCCTCTTTATTTTATTTTTTCTCAAGACTTTTAAAAACTTGCATAATATCCTGCAAGAGTATTTTGATATATTTCAACAAAATTCTACCCCACTTTCTCTAATAATAAAAACGTATTTTTTTAAAGTGTTGCTTTTTAAGTTACGTGAAACTAAAGAAAATTGGTGACTGGCTTTAGAGTCATCTTTGGAGAAAAACAGCCTCTGCTTGACCAGCTGCTGCCATGCCTTGCAGAGGTAGGGTCTGTAGTCCACACTTGCATCGGTCGGGCGCTTAAAGCCAGAGGAAGAAGCTTCGGTGGAGGTTGAGGTTTTCTGCATTATACTCTGTGTTGTTGCAAAAAGAACCAAGCGATACTCATTGACAAGTTTCTCTAGGAGCTGAGAACACTTCTTCAGAGTAGACTCCTGTAAGTTAACACTTTCTCCGCCATTGGCTCGGTCTATCCAGTAGAAAGCGGACAAGCTGTCCAAAATCAAAAGGCAGAGAGAGGGGTGACTGCAAAACATGGCTTCTAGCGAGTAGAGCGTGAGTAGCAGCTGGCTGCTGCTGCAGCAGCACACCAGAAACAGCCTGCCCAGGCAGAATTTGATCATTTCTTCAGAGCTCTGGGAGAGCCTGTGCTCAAGAATTGTAACAAGCCGAAGCAGATCGAAGTGGTAATCTGTATCAATAAATAAGACTTCTATTTCCAGTCCACCTGCTGATTGTGGAAGAATGCACCGTGCTGTTAAATGATAAAGCATTTCTGTCTTTCCTGTTCCTTCTGGACCATGAAATTCAAGAATATCACCTGTGTAAAACGTAAAGATGTCAGTCAAAATGCAGCAGCACAGTAAGAGTAGGCTACAAGTGAAAAGTCTCCAAAATGTTTAAAAAGACATTTCCTGAATGTAAAAGAAAATCTAAGTCCATTTGCCAAAACGGATCTGTAAAAGCACATACAAACACACAGGGCAATCGTCACTGGAAAAGTAGAATGACTGACCCGCTGACAGCAGTCGGGGGTTTCCTGGGAAGGGTCTGGTGCACTCAAGTGAAGCGGTGACACGGACAGTGAGGAATAAAGGACCTCAGACCGGGGGCCTTTCAAACACTCTACTGATTACAGAGTGCACGCTCTTTCTGGCAATTGATCTCCCAGTACCCATCCTCTCCTTTTCCCTTATATATGAAATCCCAATCGGGAAGGTAATGTGCCCAACTTAAAAAACCATTTTCTTAGTCTCCCTTGCAAAGAGGGGTCACCAGGTACCTCAGCTGTGGACAGTGAGACGTGCGCGGTGTCTGCTGGGATTCTGACGTTTGGCTTTCCTGACCCAGGCGCCGCATCTGCTCTCCCGCTCCCTTCCTTTAAGGGGAAGAGCCACCTCGAAACAGTGAGGAGGGAAGGTGGACTCTCAGGGGCAGACCTGAGGAGGTGGAGCAGGAAGCAGGAGGCACCCTATGCACAGCCTGCCTCGGTGCCACTTCTGATGGAGGAAAATAAGCCTCCATCTGGTAAGCCGCTACGCTGGACTTCTGTTACAAGCAGATGAAATAGCCCCAACTAGGGCTTCTCAGTGTCACTGGCACTGTGGACGAACAATTCTGGACGCAGTTTCACACGGATGGGGTGGTGGGAGCCCGCAGCTCTCAGGTCGTCCATGCCGGTAGCGTCCGTGCACTGTGTCCCATGGCCACCCTGCCGCGGTCCTCCTCTGCTGTGTGCTGTGTTCCTCTGGGAACTGCTCATGGGGAATGGCCCCTGCACTGGGAACTACCTCCTACATTATTAACCGGTCACCACTCTGAACTTCTGCACACTCTCTCTACAGTTCCATATCGCTTCCCCTGAGGACAGCGCGAACTAAAACACCCGGAACACGGTCCTGCCTACACAGCTTCTCAAAACCCACCCCACAGTGGCCTTCCAGTTCTCGTGACACCAAAACTACCGCGATTTGATTTATGACTGACCCACAAAACTGAAAGCACTGTTTTAAAATGCAGATTCTTAGGCCCCAAACAATTACAGAGCCTGAAAATCCAGTTACTTTATTTCCTGTCATTATTAATAAGTCATTAAATGTTGAAACAAATAATGTGTAAGAAATCTAGCAAGTTGTCCCCAACCTATATTTAAAGTAGTATAAAACTTCAGCCAATTTTTCTACAATCTTACATACAATTTACAATTCAAAATGGAGTGCAACTATTTTCACAATAACAATTGTTCATGGACACTTTTATTAAAAGCTGACAGAGTGACTATAACATACTCGACCCAGGCGTTCAGTTTACTCTCTGCTACCATATTTCTGGGGAGCTAAGCTGCCCCCAGATGAGTCTCTAACTAATAATATAGGAAAATAAACTGCATACACAAGATGAAGAAACACTCACACAGAAGCAATATTAACGGTAGTGCAGGAAAGTTAAAAACAGTTTAGCAAGATGAGTCTGAAATGGTTTGCAGGACACAGTGGACCGTGCAGAAGCTTGATGGGGAACAGTAGCACCCTGCACCAAATCCTCTCCTCCCGCTCAGAAGAGGAACAGAGAGGCTGATGAGCACTTCACAAATGAAAAGGGAAATCTTCATCATGGCACCTTGGATCCTAGTAACAAGTAGGAATAGCAAATCCCATCATCTTCATGATCAAATCTGTTGCATTATTTAATTTTGACTATTTACTTGATGATATTTCTTGTTGGCTACTTTAAGGTTGGGGCTTGAATATTCTATCCCCAACACAAACACAGTATCTTTTTCATCAGCTGGTTTTCTTCTTAAGAACTTCCTGAGCAACATCTAAAGATTGAAAATGTAAGTCCTGATTTGGGGGATTACAGGCCCACAGTGAATGCTAAAACATGGATTTAGAAGGGAAATAGGTCTGCCAGTGAGGACAGGTGGGGCTGAAGGGTGGCTTTGTTTAGCAGAGCCCAGCAGGTGTGAATGCCCACAACCCAGGCCCGGAATAAGGAGCTAACAGCAGAAGGAGCAGGAAAGGAACAATGTATCAGTGCTAGTCTAGCCCCACCTGCTGCCCCTGCCCAACAGCTGACACTCAGCTTCTGTCAGGTGTTCAGCCCCTTCTCCCATTCCTAAGGTGATGGCAGTGACTTAAAAGTTCTGAGACACGTATGCCAAAAGAACTTCTTCACTGATACTGCCCCTAGGGCAATGGAAGCTAAAGAGAAAATAAACAAATGGGACTACATCAAAATAAAAAGCTTTTTTACAGCAAAAGAAACCATCAACAAAACAACAAGAAAGCCCACTGTGTGGAGAACATATTTGCAAATAATACCACTGATAAAGGTTTAATCTCCAACATTTACAGACAGCTTATATAACTAAATAAAAGGAAGATGAATGATCCAATTAAAAAATGGGCAATGGACCTAAATAGAATATTTTCAAAAGAAGACAGAAGGAAGGCCAAAAGGCACATGAAAACATGCTCAAAGTCACTAATTGTCCGAGAGGTGCAAATCAAAACAACAATGCGGTACCATCTCACTCCTGTCAGAATGGCCAACATCAACAAATCAACAAACGACAAGTGTTGGCGAGGTTGTGGAGAAAAAGGAACCCTCGTGCACTGCTGGTGGGAATGCAGACTGGTGCAACCACTGTGGAGAACAGTGTGGAGTTTCCTCAAAAAAACTGAAAATGGAACTTCCATTTGACCCAGTAATCCCACTCCTAGGAATATATCCCAAGAAACTAGAAACACCAATCAGAAAGGATATATGCACCCCTATGTTCATAGCAGCACAATCTACAATAGCCAGAATTTGGAAACAGCCTAGGTGCCCGTCAGCAGATGATTGGATCCAAAAACTATGGTACATCTACACAATGGAATACTATGCTGCCATAAAAAAGAAGGAATTCTCATCATTTGCAGCAACCTGGATGGAATTGGAGAACATCATGCTGAGTGAAATAAGCCAATCAATGAAAGAGAAACACCACATGACCTCACTCATTTGTGGATGATAAAGAACATTATAAACTGATTAACCAAGAGACAGATATAGAGACAGTAAAGCAACAGGCAGACTGTCAAATTACAGTGGGGAGGGAAGGAAGATCTGGGGGAGATAATAGATCAACTGAAGGACTTGTGTACATGCATATAAGTACAACCAATGGACATAAAACTCTAGGGAGGGAGGGTATGTATGGAAAGGAGGGAGGGGGGCAAAAAAAATCAATAAAATATATTTTAAAAAATTAAAAAAAATTTTTTAAAAATAAAAAAAGATTAAAAAAAAAGTTCTGAGACAGACTCATAAGTACCCACACAGATAATACATAAGCACATAGGGATTTTTAACTTACATATTCATGTAAATACCCTAAGGTGAATTTACCTTCCAAGTAGTATGTTGAGATGAATCTCCAAGACTCTGAAAATAAAAATGTCCTACAGCTGCTAGGACTTAAGATTCAAGACAGTAATCAGATGCTGGACTCGGAAGTCTGGGAGAAAGGTACACAGAAATCGAGAACAGCTACAGGGAGAGAAGTCAGATAAAACAGAAATTTCATAGAAAAACCAGGAGGAAAACAGCACAGAGCACAGAAGCTTTAGGATGTGAAGTGGTAGTTAAGTAATTAATGAAGCAGGAAAGACCTAACAGTGAGAAATGGGAGGGAAGGATCACAGAACTGGTCCTGGACAGTGGCCTTAAAGAAGTAAATGAGGATTGGTAAGACATGTACACATATAATACCTTAATAATAATAATAAAAAAAGAAAGCTAAAAAGAAAAAAAGAAAAGAAGTAAATGAGTAGTTTGCAAAACCACATTTAATATAAATATTAATTTATGAACCAAACTTCAAGAATGGAGCAACTCAGAAGATGGACTGGCAGGCACTGCAGGGAACATTCATGCAGTTGGAGGAACAGCAAGGAGAAACCAGGGAGCCATGAGGAGTTACAGAAAGCATACAATGGTTTATGCTCATTGACAAAGTAAAAGAATTAAACAGCAGTTTCGTGAGACCAGAGAGTGAAATGAGGATCATTTAAGGTAAGAAAAATGTAATATTCTAAAGTAAAAGGGAAGAAACTCCATGGGGAGATAAACATACACAATACTAGTCAGAGGGTAACTGTGAGATATGACTGGATATTTGTGGAATTCTTGGAATAAGAACAAAAAATGAAATATTTGCCAAGTATTTTTTTGGAGAAAGGGGCAATACTCATAACAAATTTCAGCACAACTCGAAAGAGTAAGTCTTTGAGAGAGCTTTCCTACATGGTTTGATAAGGAAAATAGCTGATATAAGTAGATGGATTCCTTAGTTCTGTGGTTTGGCATAAATGAAACTGAAGTGAAGTTTAAGGTTAAGTACTTGGTTAAGAGGTTATTAGGTATATAAAATACTCTTCTCCTTTTATAGATTAACTAGAGGTCCAGTGCATGAAATTCATGCACAGGTATGGTACCTAGTGACTGCCAGCTGGGGACGCCTCTCTTCCCTCGGCTGCCTGCTGCCAACGCAGCTGGCCCCGTTCCCTGGTCGAATTCCTGGTTGACATCCCACGCAAGGGGACAGTTTGCATATTAGGCTTTTATTATATAGGATAAACAAAGCAGGTAAAAAGGTAATATATACAAACTGAAGAAGTAAAATCTATAAACTTGTAAATTACACATGAATATTATCATTAATGTCCTTGAGTTAGGTTCCCTACAAATGTTTGATGAACTGAAATCAGTTTCACTGATTTTATAAACATTTACTCTAATCATAAGATCAAAAATCATATTCAAACTTTATAT